AAATAAATTAGCTTTTATATCGTAATAATAAATTTTTGTCGGCAAAATAAATTGTCGGCCAAGTGTACCTGTCGGCCAAACAATCTGTCGGTTAAGTGGTGTCGGTCAAGTGATGTGTCGGTCAAGTGAATGTCGGCCAAGTGAGCCAGACCCCTTTTTGTAGATAGTTTTCCATATAAAATAATTCAAAATGAGCAAATATCGAGAAATGCGAAAAATTTAGTTGAAAAATTCAAGAGAATTCTCGAGCTTATTAAAACGCCTAAAGCTGAAACAATATATCGTCTGTCTGAAGTCGCAAAGACTTTCGTCAAAGATTTTCTTCAATCAGGTTTGAGAACAGTTTGTACACCGTATTTGCATTTGATTGGCAATCATTTAGCTGAGCAGGATGAAAATGAGGATATGAGTGCATACGATATGCAGGGTGTCGAAAAATCTAATGATTTGTTGTCTCGTCTGTATTTTTCTTCAAGCAATAGAGCCAAGATGCCCCTCCGTACGATGATTCAAAATTTATACAGACAACTAGAGATGAGCTTTGCCGATCCGAAAGATCGCATAGCTATGGCAAAATATGCTTCAGAATGTACTCCTGATGAAACAGACAGTGAAAATGAACATGACGTGTCTAATAATAACTTTTTTCATTCGAATCAAAGCGATTATGATAATGACGATTCTTCAGATGAGATATGCTCATCAAGTAATGAAGTAGATAATATGGAAGAAGAAAGTGATCAAGATCTTGTGCCTAAGTATCTAACGTGTCCAACAATAGTAGTGAATCGAGGAGAAAAGCGTTGGAAAAGTTTCAAACATAAATAATAATTTTTTTCTTGTGTATCATTTTTATTACTAGTTCATATACCTTCCACATGGCCGGTATACCTAGTAATAATCTTAGCTCATAAAAAGTAATTTTTTCGGTTTAGTATAGTTATTTTTTTCGATTAGGTTAACTAGAGCTTATGTGTTTGCATAAGCAGTATTTTGTTCTTTTTTCCATATAAAAACACCCGCAGAAATTTTCATATAATCATTTGTACATATTTGAATAATCAATCTTCTCTCTCTATACTTTTTAGTTAATTTTTATCAATGAACCGTAATATTTGTTTCAAAAGTCTATATGAAACTTGTCACTGTCCACTGAATACTCATCTTGTGGAACATCTTCCAGTAATTGACTCACATTGTCATGTTGATTTATTTGCTTCTGATCGTTCTTTTTTTTCATCACTTTCAAAATCAAGCATTCGTCGTATATTTATGATTAACAATAAACATAATTATACCACATGGAACACAACTTTTGATATCTCATATCAAAATTGTGGTGTTTTCGAATGCTTCGGTATACATCCGAAAATTCTACCCGAAGATTATGAATTTGTATTTCGTCTCAATCAACTTGAAAATATTTTAAAAGTAAAAAACAACTATCTTTCCGGTTCTCCAGTTGTTGGTGTAGGTGAGACTGGTCTGGACGAAACCAGCCGATTTGACATGCATAGTCAAAAACTAATATTTGCACAGCAAGTACGAATAGCAAAGGACTACCAGCTACCACTTATTTTACATTGCCGAGGCAAAGAATATTTTCGTCCTATGCTTGACTGTCTACTATCGATCCTACCTTCATCACATTATATACAATGGCATTGCGTCAAAGCCGATTCAGACTTAGAAGTTATTGATTATTATTTAAAAAAATTTCCTAATTCATTTATATCATTAAATCGAAGTAGTACGTTAGTACAAGATATTGATCTAGACAAAAGATTTAAAAAATGGTTACGAAACTATCCTTTACTATTTAATCGATTAGTTCTCGAGACAGACTGTCCATGGCTATGTCCAAAAGACTTATCGAAAGAAGATTATAATCCTGCCACCGGTATATTTATTACCTCGAAATGGATTGAGAACGTTATAAGATGCTCAGGAAAAAATGCCAGCAAAATTATTGAAATTGCAAATGACAATGCAAAACGACTTTTTAAACTCAACATCTAACGAATTTACTCGCTCATGGTAAAATTGTAAAAGTTTATAAGTAGAATTAATGAAAACGTAGTAACAGCTTTCAGAATGTTAGTCTTCCATTAGGGCCGACTAGCGTCATAACCGTAATGTTTTTTTTATTGCTGAAATAAATAGGATTGACATAATATAGTTTTATTCTCGCTTACTTTTGATTGTGCTGCATGTACTTATGTTGTTTTACCGCTTGACATATTTTTTTTATGCTAACCAATTTTAATATTATTTTCTACTAATCGTTGATTTTGCTATTTGCTTGCCTTTATTGCAATATTATTTAAAGGGATCACAGAGTTTTTGCCGATGGTGCGAGCGAAAACTCACACTGACTCCAACTCTTGTGTTTCATGATGATCGGAAAATTATTCAATTTAGGCATGGATTGATTTAAATGTCCAGTCTATACTGAAATAATTTTCGATGATCGATGATACTTGAGGGGAGGAGTATTACCGTCGAATCACCATCATTAACAAACAACGTTGAACATTTATCAACCCAAGGCAGCATCCAATATTCATTAATAAAAAATACCTTCGAATATTTATGAAGAAGTATTCACGTCGTCTTTTTCATGAACATTTAGCACATTGTATAATCATATTTCATTCTAAAATAAATTGTATAATATTTTATAGAAGCAAATTAACCCACAGTAATACGAAACTAGCACACATTGATTTTAAATGATTGTATATATCTTACTGCATTTTTTACTATGATGACAAAACAACAAAGCGAGAGTTCTCATACTAGAAAAGGAATCACAAGCACATTAGTTTTTTGTTGATCCTCTTACCTTGTTTTTTCTTTTTGAGTACGTTGAAAAAACCAACTGAATAACCATGATAAAAAGCAATAATACTAATATAATAATGTTTGTTCTTTCTTGTAGCTATGGCAATATATCAGTTCAAGTACGAGATAAACAAATAAAAAAGTTATTTACAACAAAGGTTCAAACGATACTTAATCAAAATACTTTGCAAACATATGTAAAGAATTCTCTACACGTGCTGATGAAGCAACTTGATCAAGACAAGTCAATGTTATAAAGAAAAATATATCGTTGTAAATAATTGATGCAGTATTGATAACTTTCTAAGAGGAATTTTTTGAAAAAATTAATTGTGCGGATTGAATTTGCTTACTTTAAAAATTGAGTTATGTTTGACGTATAGCACTACCCGAAGGTTTTGAAGATTTTTGTTCTTGCCATATAAAATTAGAATAGCCATAATCTGCTTTATGATTTAATCTTCCTTTCTAAGATCTGAAGAAGGTGCATCTAATTACAAGAAAATAAAATTTGACGTAGTTTTATACCAAAAAAATAAAATAAAATAAACGGTTTCAGACAGGATTCGAACCTGCGTCGCGTTATCCACGTTCTTAGCCACCCCGCTATATGTGAATTATTATTCTTCTCATCTTTCTCACAAGCTATCCTGGTTTTTCTTTCGAGCTTAATTGTACAGCTGTGCAATGGAGTCCAAAAGAAAAACGAAAAGAATAACAAGTCGTATGTAGCTGAGTGGCTAAGAGCGTAGATAACGCGACGCAGGTTCGAATCCTGTGCGAATCTGTTAGTTTTTTTTTCATTTATGTTTTTTTCTCTAGAATTACGTCAAAATTTATTTTTTTATAATATGTACCATCTCCAGATCTAAGAAAAGACAATTAACTCATCAAGCTCATTATGAATATCCTGTCATTATATAAAAAGAACAAAAGTCTTCAAAAGTTCTAATTGATAGTGTTTGTTTCCATTATTCGCTAATATAATAAAATAGTTCTTCAGTCAAATCAGATGAACAGAAAGACAAATTAACTGATTAACTTAGCATAAAAAACGAAATCATTTGCATATAATTTAACTGAATATCATCCAAGTATTGACTTTAAAAAAAAAAGTCGACAAAAAGATGATTTTTGAATTTAAAAAAAAAAGTAAAAAACTGATTAAGAGAATAGAAATGATTTTGGTTGTCTAATAAATGGTTGAATTTAAAAACTTATTTTCACGCTCAGAATTCATAAAATGTTTATTATGTAATTGAATCTTCGAATAACTTTTCAATCATGAATCATCATCATGAGGAATGCTATGGATTCTTTTCAGCATATACACAGAAATTTTTTCTTTTCGTTCTGTCGCAAGCGAACATATATATGTCATCGCGAATGAAAGAACGAAAGAAAAAACTAAAGAAAGACAAAAAATAGTTCTTCTTACAGGGAATCTTATTTAAAAAATTTTTGCTTGGGACTACACCATACCCCGCGCTCATATTCTAGGGTAATATTCAGTTTTTTTGCGCTCTTTCTAACGATACCAATCTTACGCATTAGACTTTTAGGAATTTTTTTTCGACCGTTTGATATGTTGTATAATAATGTGTTATTTTTGCGCGTGTAGAAAAAAAAAATGTAGAAAAAAAAAAATATATATATATAGATATAATATAGATGACATGACATATATATTTATATGTATGTGGATAATGAATGAACATATACGACGTATCACTAGTCGACGATCTTGCCTTACTTCTTGTAAGATTCTTGTTTTTCGTGGTTATCAGACAAGATTCTTTTCAATCATAATGTTCACGCAAGATTCTTATCGGCAGGAAAGAAAAAAGATTCTTACCAGAATTTCAAGATGAAAAGAATCTTGTCTGATTAA